CCCGCGAAAGGTTATTCATCAAATGTGAAAGTCCCTAGCATCCATTTCGGCTGAACACGTTGCGAGCATAGCGTACGTGCCCTGTCGGGGTCAACAACCTCTTGAGGTTAAAATAGGTTTACATTACGTTTAAGATTATATCTAGTAAGTTCAGAAATTCAAAATCATCCAATGTGTTGCCCTGCGTTATGCACGGTATAGCCTGGTATCACGCATGGTTTTATTCTCCTCCCGTTTCAGAGCAGCCGAGCAAACTGTTGAGATCACCAATATGGCGAAGTCAGGTGTGGATCGCTCGAGTAATGTAAATATGGACGCAATCATATTGAAGGTTTTAGATGTGGCCCTTGAGGTCTTGCAAGTTGGACAACCTGGTCTATACGGATGGTCTCGCTTGGCCCGGAGTGCCAGTGCGAGGATTTTTATATACTTGGATCCATGTCATATAATATGTGTTATTCTCCAATGGCATTTGAACTTACTATATTTGGCCTTATCTCGTACTTATATACTTAGTATTACTTATATGTCATCAGTTCATCCCTCGGCTTACAAGGATGAAAGAAAGACCTAATAAAGTCCTTGACTAGGGGAAAATTGTATTGGCCTGCCTCTTTGAATAGATGTTTACCGCTATTTCCTCAGATAATTCGGTACGGATGTCTAACACAAGGGACCGTGGACCACACGCGATATTGCGTTTTTTATTCTGTTGACCTTTTCTATTCCTACGCACGTAAGTAACGTGCAACATTGAATACTCGGCGCACAACATAGAACATACTACGAACAACACATCCCATGTGCCCGGAAACCATTCTTGTACTGGAAAGACTGGGTCGGGTTCCGAATAGGGACGTGTTGTGAAGAAGATATCTAAATTCTATCGCGAAATCCGCTGTGGAAAACTGGGAGACCTGGTCACCTTCAGTCATACGTTTTACTTATATCACATATCTTGGTATAATAGATCTAGTGCCATATTAGGGCTGTAATATTTAAAACAATAAGAATGTTACTGATTTGATATTACTCTGATTTTAATATTACACTCTCCAAATTTCTGAACCACTCTATTAGGCGAGTTGATATAAAAATTTAACCCGAAGGGATTTGAATGTACATGTCATAAGAACGTCCGTGTGCACGACATCGTAAGCGACGCTTGTGGCACAGACTTTAGAATTAATCAAGAAGAGGTCATGTGAATGCCAAGCGCATGCATGATGAACAGTTTTTATTAAGTGGGTACAACACATTCAAATTGAAAATGAAACTGACGACGGGAAGACACCAGTGGTCTTAAAGTGACGTGTCGCACGACAACCGCAGTACACACGTTTGATGTGGTGTCCTGCGACGTTTGTACAGCCGAAGTCTTTTACCGCCAGAAGTCTAATGACCTCTTCAGACAAGAAATTGATTATGGCTTTTTCATAGTAATGATGATCGGGCTATATCTGCACATGACGTTGGGTTATCGCTATCACGCATCCTAACTGCGAAGGTCGAAATTACTGACATAATGAACTGTTTTCGTGTTTTACTCAGAGGTGACATTTATGTCTGAGTTTCTTTTTTAAACTCCAAATCTGTTTCATGGAATAACCAGTTTTACATCCCTTCCGAATGCATACCTGGCGTAGACGAATCCCTTCCGAAAGTAGATTCGCCTTTGACCATTTTCTAACTCGCAAACATAAGTATAACAATACGAAACGCTAACCATTACGTCACTCTAGCCGGACGATTTCGGCCGTAACTAAATTCGTCGCTATTGTGAAGAGATTAGTTTTTGCATCTTATATTTCAGCATTAGTTATACATAATTGTATTAAATAAAATAAATAAATAAATGTCTTTATTGATGGCGAGGCTCAGACCATTTAGCCTGCTCTTCCGTCTGACCATATTGGCATATTCATTGATTTAGTCGTATTTTAGAAAATAAAGGTAAATCACTTACAGTAGAATCCGACCTTCGGTGTGTGTTCTTACTATGTTTGCATTTTCATGCTATTCCCTAGAGCATTACATAAACCCCAACACGAATTGCAGGCGAATTTCTTTAGTGGCAAAAAGAAAACAAGGCTTTGGGCAATTCTTTGTTTCATGTGTACGAATGTTGGAACTTGTAAAAATATTTTTGTGTCCTTGAACAAGGTCGTTTCTTACAAACACAACACTTTAGTAAATAAAAATGTATGGCAGTAGGAAATTTGAAATAGCGAGAGTATTGGTCGACACGATTCGTGCGAATGGCAGTCATGCTTACGTCTTTATTGTGAAAGCTTAAAATTCTTAAGCATTATATGCATACCAGGCGTAGAGGAATAAAGTTTGTGGGAAAGTTATTGTAATTATGATGGTATGATATTAATGATAATGTGTTTTGTAGGAATAGATTCACCTCCTTCAATATGCCTTCACCAAAAATATACATGACCTGAATTTGTTACCCAGTACCAATGGTCCATTGCGAACGGTCTGACTCCACGGTTCTTTATTAATAGTTGTGAATAATACTACTCTTTTTATGGTCTCAAGATTTAAGAATTGGGAAAAGTTTTTTAGTGGCCGGTTGTTGCAGTTGTTCGTCTCCGCTGTTTGTTGATACTATCAATTCCACACATATGCCGGAACTGAATTCTACGGGGCAAGGGTTGTACACTTTCGTTCTTTCTCATTCTCGTCCTTATCCCATTTTTAAAACTAGACTCCGCGGACTAAACACTCGAATGCCTGTATTACTCTTCTCCTATTTTCGAGAAAAGACTCCAAGAGTACTGTGAATACTCAAACAACAAGAATGGGAAATTGTATAGTCGGAGAAATTGCTATAAAAAAAGGAAAAACGACACTTGCTCGAAAACACTTGCTTGAGAATTAAACTGGCAAAAACTTGGCCCGAGAAAGCGAGAAAACCAGAAACAAGCGCTTGGGTAGCAGTAAGTGATGCAATTGTGGCGCTGGTGGAACGTTGAAGGCGGAAGCCGCTGGTACAGAATGCGGAAAGGACTGCAGCAGGCCTATGGTGAAGGCCGAGGATTGGCAGGCGCTGGCGACTTAAGAAACGACGCGCCGGTGCAGGCTTCCGAAACATTGCAGGATGCAAGGAATTTACGTTGCTTGCATGCTTTTACACAATTCAACATAAACAAAAAAGTCAACGTTGGCTAGAGGGGATTGATGCATGATCACGGTTAAGCACGTGTTTCGTGGCTTGCAATAATTTAAACGACATATATATTACTTATAAATAAGTAAAATTAATTTTATTTATTTTATTACTGATATAATTTATTGAAGACATATATGAGAAAGTAAATAAAATTGCAATAAATGTATTTTATTCATATTTTAGTAATTGAACAATGCATTATGTCACGTTTTATGGCACTAAAAAATTAAAGAATTTTTTAAAGGCCTATTACTTGTGTATCAATGTTACACGTCCTTGTCAGAAGTTCAACGTGGAGAAATCTTCCTTGAACATAAATCAATCGTATGCCAAGTCGTAAATCATAGCCTTTTATCCCCATCGGTCAGGGGTTCGGCGACATTAGTATCGAGTTCACAGACAACCACCTATCAAACAGTCCTCGTTATTTCAATCTGCGTAACTTCCGTGACTTAACGGAGCATGGTTGAGACGTACGTTATCTTCGTTGGCGTTTGAAATATCTTTTACGCATTGTATTTTTTATGTTTTTTTCTACAATAATGTATTTCTTAATCGAGAATGTTATAGTTTATTTTCACAGTCATTTTGATTACATAAGTCTAATATTACATACTTTTATGGGTCGCCAAAGTTGTTTAAACGCGTTTGGTCCTTTAAGACAACATTAATCAGGCCAATGCGTCAATGATCTTATGCAGGGGCACCCAGAGAAAACCAGAAGCCTGGGGGCGTTGATACATGGGGAACCTCAGTTTAATAAATAGTCTCTCCTTCCCCAATTTATGAACAGAATTAATTTCTTCAAGTATCAGATATAACTTTCTGCGTTGAATTTTGGATTAGGGATGAATACATTTTTCATTTCTTTTGAAATTTCGGGGCTTCCATTAAGTCGGGGCCTGGGGCAAGTTACCCAGCTGCCCCCCCCATCTTTGGCTAGTCTCGTGAGACTCATCGCTGATCGGGAACACTGCGTCGAACATGAGCACGCGAATTCTGCGGTCAACGTTTTTTAAACAATTTACATGTTGATGTCTGTGCATGAACAACATTGTCCTGATAGCAATGAAAATAACTCTATAATATAAGTTTATGATAATACTTTTGTTGCATTTGAAGAATCACAGTGGGGAACACTAAAATGGTATTAGGTAGTATATTTAAAGTTAATGCGTCTAAAATGTATTTATATTAATAATTTGTAGGCATATTTTCTGTTAATATTAATTATTTTTTATTTAAATTAATATATTTGCTTCGTAGTTAGTGTCCTGTTAGAACTTGAGAACTATATTTATGCCGTAAGCAATTTGCGATGTTAATTTATATCTATTTATTCATTTATTTGAAGTTTGGTCTTTATTGAAGATCACGCTAAGTACAGAACACATTAATACAGTAAATGTTTGACACTGAGGCATCATTCTTTAGTGTTTGCTTAAAATTGATTAACAGACTCAGTGTCATTAATGATCGTGGGTTCGAATCTTCCACGAAGAACGTACGCTTGGCATTCGTTTTGGTGTGAGTTTGGGAGTTGGGGACCTCACATTTTGTAACTGGAAAACAAAAAGAGTCTGCAAGAGTGTTTGTGTACGGGATACAGACCGAGAAACACGTTTAAGTGAGGGCAGAAAGGGTAAGGGAACAAACTCCCTTCAAAATGTGAATAAAACATTCCCAGAAACGATGCGACCCCAAGGGACACCGGCCCATTTGGCAGATGCCCAAATTGCCAAATGCCGAGTCCGACCTTGCTAACCATTCATTTGGTGGTCCCATCCTACGTCTACAAAACAGACCTCTAGGTCTATGAAGTGTGAAAAATTGACTATCGCGCTTGAAGAATAGAGCGTCGTCATCATCATGACGTTGAAATCATCATTAGTGCGCAATGTACATCAAGGATACATCAATACGTCAAGGATATCGGACCAGTGCAGCTGGGAATATGCTAATTGCAATGAAGTTTCGTTATAATTATTATCGACTGTGAATTTCAAAGATATAGAGAAAGAACATTATACATGATCAGAGTATGTTACACTTAAAAACACACGCATATCAACTGAAAGAACGCCGTGATACCGCGCTCTTACTGCACAATGCGCACGTGAAGACCAAGAATATATCACATCTGTAAGGGATTCAAACATCATTAGATGCACTTTATATTAGATGGATATGAGTTGCGATGTGGATGTGTGGGATGTAATATCAGCTAACGTTGACTTTCAATCCTTTTCTGAATTCTTATAGAAAATTACTAATAATTTGGAAATTCTAGGATAATTCACAGGATTTGTTTTATGTGTCAATTTGTACATACGAGCCTTGTAAATATACTACAAAGCATTTTCACGTCGTTCTTATTATGATCCTTATTATGGTTCAACTGTCCTTCCCGTAGTTTTTTGAGTATAAAATGAATAATAGCTACTGTCCAGCTATTCTAGTGCACAATAATATATATTACAACTCGCCCTCTGCATTCGTGAAAAGTAATTTCTTGATTTGACAGAGGAATTTCAAAAGGAAAAAAACAAAACATGATCAGTACTTTCACCATGGAGGATACTTCCTTGCCAAAGAGCATTTACCTTCATCTACCGCGAACTTCAAACTTGTCAAAACCAGAGTTTTGATGACTTGACACTCAAACGTAGAAACTGAAATTACGACGAATATCTTTGCTCTTACTTGTTTGGAGACGGCGTTCCCACTGCGGAAGCGCAGCGTGGACTTCGAGCAGCGAATGCAACTTCGACCACGACGTCGGCGGCGGCGGCGGCCGTGTCCGTGTCCGTGTCCGCGTCCGCGTCCGCTGGCCTGTGCCAAGTCCTGCCGACTGACCAACTCCAAGCGATCGCAGCCACAGTCACAGCCGCGGCCACAGGCGCAGTCACAGGCGATGCCACAAGCGCGAGGCACTGCAGCACCACCAGCTGCCAACCCGCCCACGCCGGCCCAAAGCCGGATATTGCGCGCTTTACAGCCGCCGATTCGCCGCCGCCGCCGTCGCCGCCGCCGCCGCGTCCGCCCGCGCCCACGCCCCCGCCCCCACGCCTCCGCCACCACGCCTCGCCCCGCCCTTCGACGCTCGCCCCCTGTTCGACTGCGGGCAGACAAATGCTCGCTTCATTTTTGTGATGCAGTTCCCCAATTATTTGAGATTAATTAGCTCAAAACGAAATTTCAAAACTTCTTCTAGAAGCACGTCTCGAATATTTGCATTATCGCTTTTATAACAGTCAAATTCATACACAATCATTGTTTGTTGTCAGCAACATGGTTGTCACTTTTGCTTGCCATTACTGTGTAAAGGAAGCTTTGTAAGTAGGTAAACGAGCGCGATTCCGCAATGCTGATTGTAGACTCACAAAAAACAAATAATTTATCTTTATTCTACAACCACGATGTCTCCCTGGCAATATAAATGCAGTAAGACAGCTTGAAGAAGACGATCGTTTTTACGATACGAGCTTTTTTTCGTTTTGCCTTCTGCCACTTAACACGTCGTGACTGGACACTTAGGACAATAGGCTCTCTCCGAGGAGTTTCAAGCTGAGTCGATTTTTAACACTGTAATTTACACTAGCATTATCACGACGCACAACTGCCTGCGTTAGCGGTGAATGTTCCGCGACGGCACATGATTTGTTTTTGTTTCTGACTAATACGACCATGATGCTAATTCAATAAGTGTAACGTAGGTGTTTTCGAATAGGTAGTAAATTTATTTTTGCTATGTAGTGCTAATGTTTTATAATCTTTATTGTGACCACAATAGGTTTCCTGAGACGAGTGAAGTTTTCGACTCCTCGTCCCCTTGTCGCACTCTGAATGATCTTTTACATTTCTGTAGTTGATGAAACACCTGCGAGAAATCGTACATATTTAAAGGAATGAGTAAATCCAAAATATGGAAGCTAAGTCGTTACAACAGCCTGTCATTCCATTATTTATTGCTGAGTTCACAAACCCTCTCGCAATTCTAGTAGATCCACTTCAATTTTCTGCATGACAGATTTCCTCTCCTATATTTACCATTAGAAATCACTTGAGTAACCGTCAAAGGCGCTTTTTCGGATCGGATGTACTATTCTCAGCAAGCAGACATGACAACTCGTAGTTTCTGTATTACGAATTAGTGGCTATAACAACACAACTTTCCTCGCAATATTTGTAACGGTTACGCAATACTATAATACAACTTGAACTTGTGAAAGTGATAGTAGCAAGCAAATTTTTTTCTACGCTGGGAGTGTAACTCAGATTCTTAGATTTAAGAAGCCATTCATGTTTCCCCTGCTCCACCAGTCTCGGAGATAAAACAACATTCTTGACGCTTCAAAAAAATTTAACATTTTTATTTGCTATTTCAAGCATTCACAAATTTTACATTTACTATTTAAAATTTAATTGTGTAAAACGCATTTCATTAAAAAATCATATCGTCAATATTGCAGTTGTAAATTATTCCAAAATATATTTTAACTTTTTCCGTTTTCGAAAATAATGAGTTCAACAAAAAATGGGAACTGTGCCAAAATATAAACGTACTTTTCTCTATACGAGAGAAAAATTTAAATAAAAAAATTCAAGTCGTTATTGGTTAAATCTTGTTTAGGTATTTCTTGAAAATTTTCTTTATTTCACACAAAATTAATAGAGAGCAACTCATATTTTCGAAAAATTGAAAAAGAGCGTATTGAAAGGTCCCATTTTGATGAACAGATTATTTCCTTGTAGGAAAAACTCTATCTTCAATATTATTATGGCAAGAAAACGACGAAATAATGTTCAAATAGAGAAATTTTCGAAAATTCAGTTCTCAACGATAAGGAAACTTCGAAAAATCACGTGCCAGGAGACCGGTCGGGAGCCTAGAGCTTCTTGTGCGGCTTAGAGCTCCCGGCTGGGGCGGTGCCGGCTGGTGGGAGATACCTGGTTGGGGAAAGTCCCTCTAGCCGACGGCAACTCGACGCCGGATCTCACCATACTGCGAAAAAAGATCAACCCCACTTCCCGAGGAGAAAACCTGCACTAAACATAGGGTACTAAAGGCCTTAGCTGTTGACGCACCCAGAATCACTAATCAATCAGAATTTTTAATTATTTTCTTTAGTTTTCCTAGTTGTCACACACTTGGAGGGTGAGAAAAACAGTTATTTGAAAAGTTTAATTTACGACAATCCTATCAATCATGTCCATTTGATACATATTTTATCGTGTTATTTTCATTACGCATACATCTTCCAGGAAGTCTTTAATTGCGAGAGACAGAAGCATACATGTATCTCACTCAAAGTGGTATCATTTTCAGTGCAATCACTCCGTCTATTTGAGTTAGAGTAGTAGAATAAATCTACCCATTAATTTGAACTTACTCTCCGTCACCAGTTTTTTCTCCCGTCACCACGACACGTCCTGCAGGAAGTGCGTACCAACGCGGTAGCGATAAAACTTAAATCTTCCTGATGGTTTTTATCATGTACCTATCGCCTCAATTTAGACCATGGCTAGGTCTAGTGGCCAAGCGCCATTCCTTCTGCTTCATCGCCCTCCCGATGGGATGGTTTAAGTCTCTTATCATTATACAAACAGCAATGCTAGCGACGGATTAATTGTGATCGTCCGACTACTGTGTTTAATATGGTTAGACCCCGAAAGTCCAGGCAATTATTTTATCTAAAAGAGGAAGGCAAAAAGTCATTTATTTTTACTAAAATACGCATCAAAAGGGGCATTTATTCTAGCTGAAGTAGGGATGCAAAGAGTCATGTAAACGATGAAAAATCCCCATTTAAAAGGAATGATTGCAAAAAATGAATAACGAAAATTGGCCACATTTTTATTCAAACACTGAAATTTACAATAACACAATAAAGAAACGATTTTTTCTTTGTAAACTTGATTTCACATGATCATGCGGTATGATGGCTACGAATTTGTTTCACTTCCGATACTCTCTCTTCGAAATGCTATTGTGAACTCCCTTTTCAATCTTATAATGATCAGTGAAAACGGAATTATATTTTTATCTCTTCGCACCCGTGTAATCGCCAGCTCCATGAAGAGTTTATCATACACAGAGGGCTGCCCTCAAAAGGGAAGGGTGGCCTTGCTCAAAGCCAGGATGGGATTTCCCGTGAGCGAACAGAGCCTATCGACATCAATCAAAAAACCAAAAATCTCGATTGGTATCATCTTCCTTTTTCATTTAGATTATTAACACATCATCTTCTTCCACAGAAAGGCAAAACATGGCTGTGTTGGCCAGGCTTGCAGGTTTCAGGTTGATCGCGATAAGTGCAGGAAAAAAAGCAAAATGTTGAGTAAAAAGAGAAAAATAAGGAAAAAATCATAAAAATAGAGGTAGTACAATTAAGTGATTTCTATTGTTACGTCATAAAATAATAACAATAACAAAAAGGCGTTTTGCCAAACTTCCGGGCTCTAATAATGATATATTGCTCTGCTCGTCTTGGTGGGATGTTTGTTTTCTAGGTAGGTTTTCTTCTGGTAAAGGAAATAATCTTCACAAAAGTTTTAATAATTTTTATTAATAATTTTCCAGAGTTAACTTTCGGGAAAACACTTTCCCCATCCTCAGTGGATCTCTAGCAAAATGGAGAAATGAAAACATTAACACAAGTTGAACACAAAAAGAGGGTGTACAGTGAATTTAGTGGAAAAACAAACAAATAATATCATATAAATACAAATAGAAAGTACTTACTGCCCATGCAACGTGGATCTCCCATAAATGTTCACAACATGGTATGGTCAAAAAATGTGAAAACGGCAAAACATGCTGCTTACAGCTAGAGGGCAGCCATCTTTTGGAATGGGAGAAGAGGAAGACTACCAATTGAGAGAAAATGGAGGGGATAGAAGAGAAAAAAGGGTAGTCATAAAATATACTTAAAATTTTTTTCCTGCTATATGCAGGAGTGTAAAACAGAACAGAAAATTAGGAATGTGCAAGATGTGAATTTTTTTTTATTTAATTATTTTATGTAATATGTAGTTTGCCTTTCACTTATCACATAACAAACCGCATATCGAAACGTCTGTGCTTTACTAAGAGTACGAATTCATTAGAAAAAATCAAATTCTGTCCTGCATGCCATGCATTTATGATGAGAGGTAGAATATGCCCCCTTAGCAGGAGGCAAATGCCCTTATCGTGAATGCATGACTTTCATTCAATCCGAGGGGAATTGATGATGAAAAATATGAGTTCGCGATACGTTTCTTTTGAGTCCACCCTTTCCTGTGCCAATCATTCTACCATATACTTTATCTTAATTTTCATTACATATTACGTTATTTTGTATACCATTATTACTATCATAATATCTCAACCTGCAGCGGTCAACTCATTGGGCGCTTTGAGAATCAACCTGAGAAATTACTACCATTAAGCGGACTTTTCGTTTTTCATGGCATACACATATATAAACATAGTATATGCATAAAATCAGTGTTTATTTTTATAGTAATTTCTTGTAAATGAATTTCACGCGTAGTTCGACGCTTTAATTTCATTGGTCGTAACCACTTAAGCTCAATTTCTGGACCCAATTCCACCAAGAGTTGCGAGTGCGTTGAGAAGATAAATCTCTCCTCCCCGACTCACCAATTCTTGCACTTTGATCAGCCGTGTAAGCTAGCATACACCGGCATGAGACAGGGGAGGGACGAAGATACACAGACAGAGCAAGTGGGTCTGTCGTTTCACATTTTTTCCCATAAATACATCTGAAAGGTCCGATAAGTGTGATACGAAGACGACTGAGAAGTTGACGTCGCTAACCTTTTATGATACGTGTTCGTTTCTCTCCATTGTGTTGGGAGCTTTGGAGCGTGGGATTTCGCTACAGAACATTCTCTCCGGAAATGAATCATAAAAGATTGTTTCGAAGTTTTGCAAAAGACGGGTGTTCATATAAAGGCGAGATTCTGAGATATTTTCGACAAAGAGCATATACAACAAACAGACTATTACAACGAAAGCAACACGAGTATATTTACTCATTATCATTATTTACAATAACTAAAGTATTAGAAAATGCTTATATTGCTTAATATCTGTGTTAATTAATGATATTCGAATATGAGGTATTGGTTTGTGGTATATATCCAAGTGAAACAAACCATGCGGGGCACGAAATCAACCGTCCTTGCGCGCGGAATTTGCAATGGTTGGAAGCAACGGAGTCCGTCCCAATCAACTTGGCGTTCAGAATTACAAAATGACAGGGTGTGAATTGGATATTTTCTTCAGAGGGATGTTAAAAACATTTATTAATTGAATAATCAGAACTGGAGCCTTTGGCTGCAGGGGTAGCAAGAAGATTAAACATGACGAAAGAAGCGAATCTTAGGAAGTGATGATGGCGGGGACAGCGCCGGGCGGCGCGTGGGGCGCGAAGGAGAGGCTGGAAGAGACGGCAGGGATGCAGTGATGGCGAGGCTCCGCCCGCAGCGGGCAGGGATTGCGGCGCGGCTAATTGCATCGTCCTCCGGCCGCTCGTTAATATTCCGCAAATGACTCACGCGCCGCGCACTCGTTAGCCCCGCGTCCCAACAGGCCCCTCGTCCGCCCGCGGTCCCCGCCGTCCGCCGCCGCCCACCGCCACCCACCACCGCCTACCGCCGCCCACCGCCGCCCACCGTCTCCCACGCCGGCGCGCGGCACGGCACTGCACTGCGCACGCGTCTTAGGCACGGCCACCCAGGGGGCCCGCGCCTTCAATTTGGGTTTATAGGGCAATGGTGAGACGATGAATTGTTAGAGCCTACCCTTCCCCAACCGCCCGTACGCTCCACAACTTCGCCTTTCGTTTCACTCGACCTCTTCGTCTTCACCCTTGCCATCGCATCAGTATTCGCTTTTACTGTAGCTCTTCTACGCGCTCTTGCGATCACTATATATCTAGCAGACACCCTCCTTGTGCTAGTCAAGAATTTTTATTGTAGAAATATTAAACTGGTGCAGTCAGTATCAAGAACAACCAAAATGTTGCTAGCATTTTTGAGGTAATGCAAAACCACAAACGTATTCATACGTAATTGTTAAACATTCAACTGTGATAGGTGGTGAAATCAATGAAATGCTAAAGAGTTTGAGAAGACGTATTATTTTCTTATTCCATGCATATCACATAAGTGGCGTCGTGTGAACATACGTTGAGGGTAGGCAAAACGAAGTTTACCGAACAGTGAGGAGTGGGCCCGGGAGCCAATCCTCTCCTGAATCCCATGTTTTTATTAAAAAATATACAGGTTACCCGTAAAAATTCCCAGATATGTTTCGCATTACATTCTTATCGAGTATTTACATAAAACCCAAGCGGAAGCTTTCAACAAGAAATTTACTAAAAAGTAGAGTTTTCTTGCTTGCTTTCTTCCGTTCTAGTTCACGCAGTGTGTTTCGCTAGTGCAAAGAACATGCCCATGTGTGTACTAGCGAATCTTACTAAAGATACCAACCATCGATTCAGTTTTCTCATAAACCAGAATTGTAGATAGAGAAATAAATACAAGGAAGAGGTTAACAAAAGAAATAATATACACATGTAAAAATAAAACATTTAAAAAAGAATTGATGTGGACAAATTGAGTATATTTACTGTCTCACATATGTTTCAAATTCGGTATTATAGTTTAGTTTGGTATATAAAATTTATAATTTTTTTAACAATATTTAATATTCAAATAGTTATATAGTACAATTTTGTGTAGGAATGAATACGAAATGAGTATATACTATATGAATGGGAAACAAATTCATTATATAAACCAATTGCCAAATATGTCTCACAGCCTGAGGAGGAAACAATAAAGATCCGAAACGTTGGAAAATTAGGAGCTTTTAATTTAAAGACGATCAAACTTAACCTATACCTAAAATTTAGATTTTAATCTCAGAAACAACTTTTAAAATAACATACTATTATTTAAAGCATCTATGTTAATATTGTGAATGTTAATGGTAAATACATTCACAAATAATACATAATTTTGACGCAAATTTATAATGATCTAAAAATATATTTTTTTTTAAATCCTGCATATCTTAAACATCAGGGAGTTGAAATCCCCATGACTGCTCTGGAACCGCCCTTGGGCTGGTGTGACACAGTGTACGTACCGCGTGCAAATTATTAGAGCAACAAGCTGGAGTGGCCACAAGTTTGACGCTCCAGCTTTTCGCCAACGCGTAAATAGCTTGCTCGAACGCAACTGCCTCCTTGGAGTTCGCACTCATTTGGCGGCATGCGAAGACAATGGAGCGCAGCGCTCTGCCAGCTTAGCATCAACGCGCGAACGAGTAGGCGGTGCAAATGACCGCTGGCGCTAACGTGCTGAGCGCGCGCTCGTCCCACCTCCCCTTCCTACCCCCTCCCTCCCCGTCTCCCGCATTCCCCGTCCCTTCCCATCACCGACGCCTCGAGTCTCAAAGACGCACTCACCAAGCCCTGGTAGGTTCAGTCTCTCTTGAAAAGTCATAACGCAAAGTTTCTAGTTGTTTTTATCGTGACTTGGCGGTGCACAAGAAAAAGAACACATCCCACATAATCGTCATTCTTTAAGTGAAGAAATATATGTAGGAAATGAATATATTTTTACGAGTAAAAACTATAAAGATTATTTTTTTTACACATTTAAGTTCGTTTTTTAACTTCTGAGGTCATATAATGACCACTAGTGAACACACTGACACATCCGTGCCCAGTGTGGAATTGAAACCCGCGACCCTTTAGGTACGAGGCAGCTGTTTAGCCTTAGCAACTTTATTACCTTTATAATATGCTGTATAGAATAAATACTTCGACGTGGGAGTCGGTCTGTTGTCCATAACTTTGAGACCATGAGACAATGAGCGACAACTTAAGACTTTGGACTCGAATTCAGCGCATATTCACCGTGTTCTCGTGAAGTCCTTATGGCAGCCCCATGTATCTCACCCTCAACAAGCATTGCATCACACCAACCAGGAATGTGAAAGAATAACTGACATTGACCTACGGCAGTCCTTTCCAACGTATTGGACTCAGGACATCATGGCCCGTAAAACACCACGAGCCTCGCTACTTCCTCCATTTACCGCTTTCCCCTCTGAAGGCGGGGTACCTCGCAAAAATCGCAATGACATCACTTCTGTTCAGATTGCAGGAGCGTTCACTATGTTTGTCCCAGAACAAACTGGAAGACTCTGCAAACGATTACAGCATAAAATGTTGACTGGGAAAATTAATCCCCTCGCCTGCATTATTCCGTTGTTGGTAATACGTAATCATGACAAAGTTTAGAATTCGTTGCCTCAAAGATGGAATTTTCCCCAGCCCGATGATAACCAACTGACTTTTATAAAACATGGAAACAACGAAAAAGAACACTTAATTGAAAAAAATTAAACATTTATCAAAATAACAAAGTTTATGGTTTTACGTAGTGAAATAATCATTAAAAATTGAAATTTAATCACAAGGAACGCGTAGAAACAAGATCAAACAACAACACAAGTACGAAGTAATGTACACTGATAATAAAATATAGACATCATTCGCTACCATGGGCAACTGTAATTTCATCATAACAGACACACAAACGACACAAGTAACATATTTCAGAAAAATGCAAACTTGGTTTGCATCTTTGATCCATGTTACATATTTGTTACTTTATCTTAATGTACGTCCCATTTTTAAAATTTTTCATATTTTTATTGAATCATAGACATTTAAATAACAATTGACAGTCAAAAACGTAATTATCCGCAAACCTTTCCCCCCCCCCCTTCCGTACCATCATTAGAACAATGTACTCCCGCCGCCGCGTCCGGCACTACCTTTACTTCCCGGGTCGGTTCCGAACACGAGAACAGATTTTTGTGACATAACAGGGCATTGAGACGCACAGAGCATGAGTTGGCAAGCTCTGCTCTAGTATATTGTGTAATTAGATCCCACGTTTTGTGGGTACGTTCCCGCCTGTCTGTCTGTCTATCAGTCCGTCTAAATGATTTTGTGATTTAAAAAAAATCGTTTAAAGGAATTATTTTTGAATTAATTGATTCGACTACATCCACTAAAATAGTAAACAAATTGAACATACCTGTAATAAAAATATAAAAGTGGGACCCCCTTTTTCTTAGGCCGTCAGGAATAGGACATTTTGGAGTCCGCTCTCGTCGCTTTCGAGTTTCTATCTACATAAAAAGAATTTGTAACTTCGCAAATGAAAATCATTTTAGCACTGTATGAAACGTTTCTTCACTTGTAAATCAGACGACGGCGTTTTGCAAACATTGTAATTGACGTGTGGTTGTTATGAAAGGTCACTTCAGTACCAGGATTTCAAGATCGCATCAGAAAAAATGTATTCAAATGAATGCGTATGACAGACCGTTGTACCGTTTTCAATCACACTTATCCATTTGAATTAAACCTCTGGTGGTGAACATGGAAGTCTTTGATGATAGTGGTATAAACACATGGAATAATGCAAAATAAGTTTCCATCAAAGCATTTCATGTGGAGTGCGAGCCGAAAGAATGTTTCCAGGAGCACTCAATTTTAACCACAATATATATATTTCTAATACTATTATTTTCTGAAAAATCACACCATCATTCTTGAATTTCGAGTATTTAGTAATTAATTTTATAACCGAAGTTTCATGTTTCATACTTAATATTATTATTACGAAAACAAATAATAAAAAAAATGTGATTTAATGCTACAGACATTTTAACTAGTCTGCGTTTTTGGATAATTTTTGCGTATTTTATAGCATCTTCAACCTCCTTAATCGTTCAGCTCAACACAGATATGCCTGTTTCACTTAATTGAGACGATCAAGCCACAGAGAAGCTATCGCCGGCCATGAGCACAGGCAATTGTGATTGACAGTCCCTCTGCTTTCCTGACCCCTTGGCGGCCGAGGCAACAGACGCCTCAAAACAAGTCACGCATCGTCATGTGAGCCAGCTCAGGCGGAACTCCTAATATAAGCATTCAAAATCTGATAGCCAGGGCGTCAATTGCCTAGTATCTCGAAGGAGATGCTCAAAACTAAATACAGATGGCAACACAAAACACGCGTATTTATTTTCTTTAACAAACTGTAGTGATAATACAAACACACGTGTCTCTAGCAGTTCCTACACGTGGACTGTTACCTTGTCAGAAGGTCAAATGCTTAATAAAGCTGGTACAATAAACATCCACATATCAACTTCCCAGTTTCCTTGCTTTTATTTTGTTTTTATTTGAAGATTTCAAAATATGGTAATCGTAAATGAGACAACTCAAAATGGTTTAATTGTATTAACATTTCATCCAGCATTGTTTCCACATGACCTTCACAGGAAAACATACACTCTGTAGTGAGCCGTCACGACTTATAACTCGAATCTCATGTAGTATCATGCCAAAAACTCTTGATCATCAGTTTCACCTTTCTTAATTTCTCCACCTATTCTGCTTCGAACATTCTTATCTCCTCCTGTGAACATACACCCGATTCCCACATTCCCAGTATCAATTCATCTCTGCCTATTGCACGAATTTCTTCAAAAACTGTCACTATTGGAAATTGTTACAAACTTCGGTCATTCATGCAGGATAATATTGGAGTAATTATTATAAATAAACTACAATCAGATGCAGCGGAAAAACATTCGTGTAGGTATTTGCAAAAGATACATACGAGTATACTGCACCATAACGTTCAATACCTTTTAATATAACTGAGTTCATATAGGTTTATCTTCAAAGCGATCTAAATCACATTGATTTTTCTTTTTCAGTACACGTTATCTCTAATGAACATAGCTTTATTCTAATTCCCAACTTTATCTTGCAGGTTATTATAGTAGAGCAAAAAATTCAAATAAGGGCCCTACTTATAGTGGTTCTTGTATTTATGTCAGAAAAGATATAGATTGTACCTCCTCGACGAAATTGTGTATACAGTTGAAAATTATCTTGATATCTCTATCGTACGTCCTCCTAAGCTCAAAAGTCTCTTACTTTGCATCTAAATGTCTCCACCAAACTATAGTACGATTGTATATGACTTTCGTAGAAAATATAAAGATAATTCTAAAGTTAGTAATCGCATTCATTGTATGCGGAGATTTAAATAATTATTTTTTTATCAAATCTTGCGAAAAAGAGCAGTTTTTCAGTTTAATTACTTCCTTCAGTTTAGTTTTGCAATAAATGTTTCCACATGGAAATCACGTAATTCAAAGAAAACAATCGATCAAATCATAATTAACAAAATCACTACTAAATATGAAATTCCAACGAAATAATTAGTATACGTTACATCGATACATAAATTCTTACAATTACAAGAAATGTGAACACCGACACATTAAATAACACACATATGTGTAGATTGTTTATTAAAAGTAAAATAGAATTATATAAAAAATATTTGCTCAAATCGTTTACTTAAATAAAAAACTTAAAATAATTTGCGAAGTAGAAAAAGAGGTGTGAAAGAACAAATCTATTGTAAATAAATTACGTATTGCTGCAAGTACGCTTTCAAATATTTTAAAAAAAAACACACAAAATTCGTCACGCAGAGAAGGAATCACTTTTTGAAAAGAAAAATAATGAAATGTTCACCCGTACTTGGAAGAAGCATTGTTACAGTGGGTGAAGAGTGCTTGGGACTAGAACATTCCGATTCAGGGTTCATTAAATAAGAAAAATGCAGAAACAAAAGCTCAATAATTAGAAAATAAGCCTTTTCAAGCTAGTACAGGTTGGCTGGAAGACTTGAAACACCTGAATGGAATTATGCGGAAGATTCGAACTGGCAAGAATGCAAGTATGTGTATGGAAGACAAAACTATCAACGCAATATCCTATCTGGATTGTTAGAAAACTACAGACAAAAAGATATTTAATGCTGATGATTCGGGACTATTTTTCAATGCTTGACTCAGAAAACATTAGCGTTTAAGTGTAAAAAATATTAAAGGTGATAAGAGAAGTAATGATAGGGTAGCAGTGATAGTTTCAACGAATATGACAGAAATTGAAGAGTGGAAGATCTTGGTGATCAGTTGAACAGCAAAGCCTATATGCTTTTCACAAGAGAAATACCTTCCTCCCCTAGAATATGAACATAACATGACGTGGATGACAGCTATTTTTTAATCTTGGCTAAGGGATGTGAACAAAAATTCCAGGGAAAGAATAGGAAAATTATTCATTCTGTCGTCAATTGTTCCGCCCATTCAAAATACGCTGAGAACTTAAAAGCTGATCGACAAATTGACTTCCAACCAAATATGACTTCAAAACTGCATCCTGTGGATCAGGGTGTCGTTAAAACCATGAAACATTTCTAAAGAAAAGGATGTCTTCAAAGAGTACTGAGAAGTTTTGAATCACGCAGGCATGTAATGGATTTAAATTTATTTGACGGTATTATGTTGCTTCAAAAATCATGGTCAGATGTGTAATCAGAAACAATCGCAAACTGTTTCCGAAAAGCCAAATTCTGCCAACGTGACTTGCAGCCTAATGAAGAAGAGAACATGAGCATTTCTACCCCTAACGATTGGCAAGAATTTACAAATTTGATATCATGCAAAAATGACTACAACGTTTTCATTAATGTCAATGCAGAACTCAACGTATCAGACCATCCTACAGACAAAGAAGTTTTAGTTTCCATGATGGTAGCAGAATACGAGTTCTCGAAAGTGGAAGGAGACGTAGGAGAGGAGTAATGATTCTAAACCACCTTCTGCCCAACAGGCTCTGAGGGGATTAGTCACTTTTCGGCGGTATGTTCAGGGTCAGATTTCAGCTGGTGAGGACATTTTTAGTGCAGTGAATTACTAGAAAATGTTGTGGAACAAAGACTAATACAAAAAAGAAATAGAAAAAATTACTGATATTTTAGTCTCTAAACTTTTGAATTCAAAACCTCAGTAATACCAGGTTAATGTTACTTTCAAAATCATTTATTATATTTTGAAATTGTTTCACAATATTTTGAACCTGAATGAATATTTTGAATGCTACTCATGCACATCAATTGTATGATTTAACAATACTATTTAACCGTGCCTATTTAAAACAGTTTATATTTTTTAAAGAAAGTTTCATTTTCATATCTTCAATTGTAAATAAGTCGAAGAAATATTTGTCTCCGGACACGCTTCGTGATACCGAAGTTCGACTGTTTAACCTCGAATATTTTATATTTCGTTATGCTAAAAGTTTTATTTTGGTAAATATAATATACTAATCGATGCAAATATGTTCTTTCTTATCAAAATAAAAATTTTATTAGATAAAATTATAAATTTGACAGAATAAAGTATATTAACATGTATTAGATATAACACATTACAGATTATTGCATAAAACAAATGTATATAACATAATGTATTACTTTTTCCGTAATCTTACGGTTTCGTAAAATAGCTTCCTCTGTCCCAAAACTGGTGTCAAAAATCCCGTTGACTTGAAAAATGACCGTTCTTAAACTTTAGGCTCATGGTCCTATCCTAGTCACAAGTAGTGGAGTTCTCAAGCGATGAACTGTCTCAAAAGGAATTAAAAATCACTCTTCCACAAATATAATGCACATCTGTTGTACAGTCATAGTCTTTTGCAGAAAATTCATAAATAAGAGACTGGAGCACAGACGAAGTTGTAATGTACCCCAGTACGGTTCTTTGTTGACATAAGTATTTCATTCAAGGATAATTCAAAGGCAGATCATGTAGAGCTGTTCTAGAAGCTTCAAATCCAAAACAATTATATTAACGATGCCATTAGTACTAAAAGAATACGTTAACGTGAAATGCTTGCTCATCATGACTGGGTATTACTGAATTTACGAGAAGCTAGTTTAATTGCAGAACTACTCTGCAGATACGTAATTTACTTCGAATTACCATTTTTTCGCTCCAATTCATTAATGGCATCGTCTATCTTTTTTGTTTGAAACATCCTCTAGGAGATAAGCATAACTCACTTCCTGTCGTATTTAAATCTTCAAGTCACTTGCTAAAACAGGGTTATGTCATACTTATCATCAAGAGATTTTAGTTATCAACGAGACGGAGATAAGCATTCTATGGGACCCCCGAAGATGGTCCAAAGTTCACGATGTTTTACACTCATCAAGTTACCGATCGTGTAAGGCATTGCAGATTGTCTAAATTTTGGCTGTGAATATTTTCTGTGATGAAAATTTTGATTTCAGATGTATTTCTATATTACAGCATTTCACTTTACAAGTACTTACACCTGCGAAGATCATGTGAATGTCATGATAACCTTGCCCAAAATCTTTTGAATTTAAATCTTTGGATTGCTTCGTAGTTGTGAAACACTCAATTTTTAATACATTTCTGAATTAATATTTTGAATTCTAAATTAGAATTAGAATTGAAATATGCTTGGAATTCTAACAATATTATTTTATATTCGTTTTCAATTTCAGGTCAAGTTATATAAATCAATACGCATGTTTTAAGTCTTTCGTGAACATCAAAAACTGTCAAAGGCAGTTTAGAAAATAAGCACATAGAAAATTATCTGCGCAGTAATTCGAAGTGTACGAGTGAAAGTATTAAAAATATTTTATTCAAGAGCTATGAAAAGTGTTGATGATAGACTGTGTGTAATGACATTATTTTTAGTTGTATCAATAATACCCTCAATTAATTCCTTCTCACTTTGACCATTGATAAAATAAATATATGAAACCCAAAACCATGTATAACCAAATAATTGAGATACATTATGTAAATTTAGTTCGTATGAAGTAAATTATTGAATATAACAATCGTATGTCGCGTTGTGTATAACGTTACAACGACGCATAGGTCATTACAACGTAAATTTACGACCTCTCCGAGACGTCAGGGAATATGGCGACGGAAGTTATAAAATGGCTTTAAAAACTGATTATAATGAAAAACAATTCGCGGGAAGCTTCTCTCGTTTCGTTTTTATTTGTTGACTTCTTTTCCCTGAATCTGTCTCTTGGCTCTGTTTTTCTTTACCCTTTTGCATTACTGAAGGAATGCGTAAGAGGCCCTTTCACTCTAAAGGAGAAATTTAATATCTGCAATAATATAATTCAAATGCATTTCAACGTATCAGAATGTTAAAGCAAAATTGTAAAATACCGCTTAAACCTCTTTTAATCACCCAATTCCCATTCACGGTTGATGATCGTTTACCCTCAAGCGGGTTTCCTTATTTCACTTACGGTACAGGACGAGTGATAAATTTTGTTCACCATCTTGTTTTGGTTCTTAATGTGTTTAGGTTCGTAAATAGAACAAGTAATGTTTAAATAATAATATTTATATTATTAAATATTATTAAGGAGTTCATATTTATTCAGGAGTAACCAGTATTGTAGTTAAATATAATAGAATGAATAAAAAATCATTACGTACAAAATATAATAGAACAAAATACTAAGCCAAAAAAAATCAAGTGAGGTTACACATGAAATAATTTTGAGAAATCACTAACAAACTCCTTCTGAATAAATTATACTCTCTTTTTAATTCCTTACACATATTGCATTGCGTAAATGTTGTTTACATACAAACTAAGAATGCTGCTGACCGTTCTTCTGACTGTGAGATCCTAGGGTTCGAGTCCCGGCGGATTTTCGTCACTAGCTAGTTAGCTAGTCTGAATTCAGCCGCTGGCTGGAGGAAAATTCTAGCGGCCGGCTCCTCTGAACGATAGTTTACCGTGGTTTCTCCGATCAACACCAGGCGAGAGCGCGAGCAGTACCATTACCTACGGGCCATGGACCGCGCGCGAATTTGTGCCTCTTCCTTGTTCTATCATCACCTTACACACAGTTGCCCTATACTGTCACATATAACGGGCATGTAGTCGGGAACTTCAGAGCTTGTCCTGGCTGGCGCGGTACCTGCTGGCGGGGATACCTGGATGAAGAAAACCCCACAAGCCGGCGTGTAGGTCGGGGCCGAATTTCACAATTTACTGGGGGAAGATCACTGCCTCCCGTGATAAAACATGCAATGCACGTACGGGGCTGATTACTATAGCAGTCGACGCGTGCGGAGACACAAAGTAATCAATCAACAAAGTTAAAACACATATGACACTTTGTCGCGGTCACTTGGTTTTCCATGCGATCACACTGTATGCAAGTACTCTTTTTGCATGAAATAATTATAGACGTTTTCTTTGCTAACTTTGCTAAATATTACTTGATGAAAGAGCAGTTTTCGATGGCCATCAGCATACATGACAAAATATAAACGGGTTAAATCATTCTGTTACGCAATAATAGATTACAAATTCATGACTCATACAATATTACATATTATAAATTCTCAATGAGTCATGAATTTGTAATCTATTATTCCGTAACAGACTGATTTTAGGTTTATTTAGGTTTATAAATATATATATATATATATAAATAAATATATATATATATATATATATATATATATTTAAAAAATATAATTAACATCTTAACAAATGAAAGAAAGAAAGAAAAAAAAGGGGGCGTAGTTATAAATCGTTTAATATTACACTTATTTTGTGAATCTATGCACGAAAAGAAATGAAATTGGAAACATGTACATTTTTAGTATCAGAAAACATGACATGTATGTTGAGTCGTTCTTTATCTGCTGTTTGAAATCCACAAAACAACCACGGGGGTTCGGCGGGCCTAGCAGCTTAAGTACCGGGCTGTGGGTTGGAGGAAGGAGTTAATGGCCTGGGTGCGGAGCCCCTAAAGAATGTGGTGGGAGGGTGGTATCTACTAATAATTTTAGCGGATGGGAGGGGTTATATTTTATGCTTTCATTGAGTAGGTTATCATTTAAATGAATATGACGGTTTTCAACCATTGTACAATCACGACCATTGAAGAATAAAGAATTAAAATCGGTTCACGGGATTGGTCCATGTAGTTAGAGAAACAATTTGTTACGTCAACGTTTCGAAATATATAATTTCTTCATCAGTGCTACAGTGTAAACAATGAACAGTGCATGAGGACAATATGATTACAATAAATTGATTGTTCAATAGTTAAAACAAATAAAAAAAATAAATATTAAATTTTTAAACTAGGATAAGTAAAACACCAAAAATATATAGGAAGTACACACTTTACGAATAATCAAACAGGTAACGTCTCATTTCAAGCCTCCACACCCAACTCCACATGGAGTTGCTGGAGCACGTGGGTCCATCGCGAGACAATTGTGAGTCGGGCCAAGGCCTAAAAGTAAATGAATGAGGACTGGTTGAATTGAATGAACCACGCGCTACAGCCACTCCATGTCCCACTACCATGTGTTTCCGGACAAGTTCATGTTAAATTAGCAATATAACCTGACAAAATTCTGATAAAAGGTGTTGCAACTGCATCACAACTGGATGTATTGACCAAATGTTATAATAATAATAATAATAATAATAATAATAATAATAATTATTATTATTATTATTATTATTATTATTATTATTATTATTATTATTGTATTGTAAACAAAAAATAAAAAAATGAAAAATGTATATGTGGACCATATATACATAAATTCACTCATACATTCCTACAAACAACCACATACAATCACACACACACACACATAATATATACATACACATACATGCACATACACATACATGCACACAACGTATATTCACAAAAAATTGAACATATACGAAACAACCATACATAAACAAAACAATACACGCACACACATACACACAACATACAACCATATACACACATACATGCAAACAATTACACAACCATACACATACAAAAAAACCTGAACACACACATATAAACAAAAGTATACTGATGGCTTGTAGAATAAAAAGTAATCAATGTAATAGTCTGTTAAATATTAGCATATAGACTTTACTACTGAATGAAAGCAAAACAAAGCAAGCCAACAATAATCAATTTGAATAAACAACTAAAATTTCTACTAATAATGTTGATTGCAAAAATGCATTGTTGAAACGAAGCTCTCGTGCACGGTTTTTAGGCAAGAGTGCCCTCGTGGCGTCGGGGCATACGTAGGCTATCTTGGAGGTCGCGCCGTGACATCCTGCTGCTGTTGCTGCTTCTAACACGCACTTTATGGCGTTTTCATTTATTCGACCTCAACGTGCTGCCTTCTCTGGCGGCCGCCCCGCCCGCTGCCCACCGCATGCTAGGCTGGGAGTGAGCCGAATACGGCTTTTGTTATCGGCAAGTAGTGACAAGTACGCGTATGAACGTGAGCTTGTGAGCGTGTAGGCGTGTGACCGTAAGAGCGTGTGACCAAATAAGCGTGCGAGCGTTCGAGCGTGTGAGAGTACGAACGGCGAGTGAGTGTTTGAGAGTACGAGCGTGCGACCGTCCAAGTGTGTGAGCGGCGAGTGAGCGAATGGGTTTCTGAGAGTACGGGCGTGCGAGCGTACGAGTATATGAGCGTACGTGCAGCAAGAGAGCACATGAACTACTGAGAGTACAAGAGAGCGAGCGTGCGACTGTGAGTGCGTAAGAGAGGCGAGTGAACGTACGAAAGCATACGTTTCTGAACGTAGAAACATGTGAATGTTTCAGTGCATGAGCGCGTTACGGCATGAGATCTTGAGCATATGAACAATTGGGCTTAATATAAGCTTATGAGCATGTAATGGCATGAGCGTACGAACACATGAGGGTGTACGTGTAAGCTCATAAGCTCTTAAGTGCAGGGAGCGTACGAACACGTGGGCGTCTGACCGAATTTACTGTATGAGCGTATGGGTAAATAAACATGAGAGGGAAGAGTGGGTAACAGGCATTATAAGAGTTTCAGTTCATCTCTGAAGAACAGAATGATTTTTTCGAGCCTAGGGAAAAATAAATTTATATAAATATAACATTAGAGAGTAGTAATCTCTGGAACAGTTGAGCAGATTTCAATGCGGTTCTCACAGAAAAAAATGTATTGTAGACCATAACTTTTGATACTGTTTTGAAATTATTAATTATTTATAGAAACGGTCACTGACTTTTCATTCAAATCTACAGTTTTATTTCGATCTGAATGAAATTTTGCACACGTAACCTTCAAAACAAAAGATAAAATTAATGTCTGCATGAGATCTCGTAAAACAACTCCGTCTCTCTTCCTACCTTTTAAAAGCAAATTTAAGTGTGCACTCTTTCACGGTTGTGTTTTGTTGTTTTTTTGCGGACACACCTACACATTGAAGAAATTCACCAAAGAAAATTAAGCATTTTTTTTAAGTTCATGGAATTTCTTCAAAGCACATTTTTTTTCATTCAGATAACGCAATTACGCAATAGGTAAAATTATGTTAAAACTGATACTGGAATTTTCCCAGAAATAGACAACAATACATCGATTTTCAACGAGCCATAGTAATAATGGTGTTAGCATCGACAATTGCAAAAACACGGAGAAGCGGTGAGGGGCGGAGTGGGCGAGGAGGGGCCAGGTGATCCAAAGCGAGGCGGGCCTGGGTACGATGGGAAGCGGTAGAGTGAAGCTAAATAGGTGCGATGGAGTAGGGTGAGGTCGGCCGCGACGGGGGAGGGACGGGGAGTAGAGACTAGGGAGAACCAGGGCTGAGTTAGGCGGAAGTACACTATAGATACAGTTTTTCGTTTAATGTTTAATACAAGATTGTGAATAATAAATATCCAAGCACGCAGGATTTAATCAGCAAATAAATGCATTTCTTTGAGTTTATCGATTTAACCGTACTTCATGGTTCTTGAACGAAACGAATGGGAGGAAAGCCAAGAATTATTCGTTCAAATACTACGTAACACGTCCCTCGAGAGGTTCATTGACGACTAGCTAGCTTTCCGTGGCGCGATCCCGGATTATATTTCTGGCCGGAGCAAATAAAGAGCTACACTTTTCCATTGCAATCATCTTAGTTTCTATAGCTGTATTATCATGACATGTCTCTCTTACCCACACGAGTGGATATTATATCAAAACTGGAAGTAGGTGTGGAAAAACCGCTAAAGGTCGGATTAATCTAACCCTAAAATGGCAAATACTGACAATACTCTATACCACGTAAGAAATGAGATTTCACTTTGTTACTGTCGCGTACGTGGTATTGGTGAAGCACCGTGTACTCCTACACTCCGCCTATAGAAATGATGAAGGGAAAAATGGACAATGTGCAAGGAATTTAAATTACCATTCAATAGTTGCAAATATATTGGTGTGACTACGTTCACCCGATTATAGTGTTCAATTTATCATACCAAAGCAAACAAAATATGAGACAACCTTTCTTCTGTACAGCAAGTAACAAATAACGTGGCTACTTTTCTTCTAAAAAATTGAATCGGATATTCTCCCATTATCTACGATATTTTTATCGCTGAATCACGTATCGTATGTCACTATAACAGTAATTCAACAAAAGGAGGAGATGGTACAGTAAAATAAACTCTCTAACACTCATACAAATCAAAAATCCTTTAAGTGCATGTAACTGTGGATATACGAATTCTGCAAATTAAATATTGCTCCTCTAAAGTGTATTCACCTCGTCTTTATCAACAGAAAATCGATTTCGTGATAATTTTTTATGATCATTGATAATCAGATGTTCTGGATGATTATGTACACAAAATTAGCTGTGCACACATTATGTGCACAAAATTAGGTTAATATGAATGTGCTTTGGTATACATGTTTATTGAAACAAAGGAAAGAATGTGCATATACACACAAAACCGTTTCTGTATTTAATTTACGAATAATACATGAAAAGTAGTTTATAGTAATTGGAATATGAAATACGATGGTGTCACAAGACTTTAAAATATTGAATTAAAATTCAATGATTGAAGATTAATTGTAATGTGATTTAATAAAATAGTTAATAAACGAATCGATAATGAGCTCTTTTTATGAAATTTCGGTAGTACTGACATTACAATTCAAGATTTTTTTATTATGTAACAATTTTCATATAATATTTTTAGGAGAGTTTTTTTGACGCTCTAGTACACACAAAGCTCACTAAACTAACATAAATTAAATGTTGGAAATACTTTCCATTTGTAAGATTTATTATGTACAAATCACAGAAAGAGGCTCAAAATTCTCATCAATATGAAATTAGGTATTATATTAAATATTTTCCAGCTGGATCCGTCTGAACATTGCGCTCTTGTAAATCAATTTTAGAACTGAAAATAACTTCATACCGCATCGTAACTCCAAACGGCCAATCCTAGAGCTGTGCGTTTTAACATTACACGCCGTGATTTGATTTTATGCAGGTGCTACATAAACCAATTTTACAAACATTATTTTACCACAAATTTGTAAAAGAGGAAATAAAACAAAATAGTTAAAAACAATTACATCGTAATAATTAAAATGTGATAAATAATTTAAAACTGATAAGATTACAATAAAAAATTAAAGTTAACAATACAATACCAAAAACTTAAAACAGGTCTTCAAATGAAGATGATGTATATAAGTTTGTTTCAAAAATATGTGTGTAAAATAAGTTTGTATTTTTATAACACCTTATAATGAAAAGAGTCTGTTTTGAAAACGTTGTGCTCATGACTAAATTTTACTAAATAAATGAATAAATCGATGAATAAATATATAAATAAATGGTTTCAAATTCGATTTCGTTTAAAATGAAAGGTAACTTTAGGTATGAGAATATAGGAAAGTCCTATGGGATTTCCCATTACAATATTTAGGACTAATTCTATAATCTTTAGGAGTTCTCCAAGTTTTTACTTATAGATAAAGAAGTTTAGTTTTGATATGTAATAGAGATAAGCGTGTATGTACCAGGTTCAAGGGTGTTCGCCCAGCTCCCGCATCCTCCTTGAATCCCCCTTCAATTCTTTCTGACCGCAACCTTCTTGAATGAAATGTATTTCGTTTAGTTTGATTGTCAGTGCCTGTATTTGAAGGATTTATTCACATTTCTGAAATAGATATTTGTATAATATTTTTATATTTATTACGAAAGAATTCCGTCCCAAATCCAGATAAGTACACAAATAAAAAAGTAGACTTCAACTTGATGTTTTACACAAAGCAGGATTTTTTCTTTTTTGAGAGGCTGCGGAAAACTCGTTTTGAACGATAGATAGATTTGCATCATATCACAACCGAAACACACATTCTTCCTTTTCTCGCACGGTCCGCAAGCCGCTGAACCGCCACTCTTGCATCCACCTCGAATTTATCAGCACGAGCCAGCAAAACAGACAATAAAGCAAGAGGGACCTCTGACCAAATGAATAAAAGTAATGATTGACAACTACTGACGATGACTGACTGAGCTTAATAGAGGATTGCTCAACATTCGATTACTGTTAACAATAGTAAGATACGAGTGCGGGAGAGAGTAATGAGGAATGGAATGTAGGTATGAAACGTTATCAATGGCTGCTTACTGGAAATGTATGATTTATTTCGTTCACTCTCAGATCTGGGGATGCACAAATGTAATTGCATAGTACGGAATGTTCAATATTGCGGTTCTGACCCACGCAATTATAAGAGTACATATTTAGTTTGTTTGAAATTTGGAAGTTTTAATATAATATAATATAATATAAAAGGCATGATCCTAACTCGTGAGGACCTCTAGATAGGATTGTTTCATCCCATTTAAACATATTAGTTATTAGTACCCATATCATGAATGTGGACGTAACGTCAAGTTAGTCCACTTTGCTTCCAACGAAATGCGTCAAATGAGAGATGACAAAAGCAGTATTGTGCTGACACATAGCGATCGATTGCAAAACGTCGCTTAGTCTACTGTGCAGTCAATAGGTCTACTTTCAAATATTGCATTTCTATCCCCCCGCCCGAAAAACAAACAAACAAAAAAAAAAGAGAGAAAAAAAATTATGTGGATTAGTCCACTCTGCCTCTCATAGCCTCATTTGTGATGTAAGATATATATAGACATACAATGGGATCACCCTTTTATGACATTGGGTACTACGAATAAAGGATTCCAGAAAATCAGTCCTTTGTTTATTGAAATTTTATTTTAGGAAATAGAAAACGCCTTTCTGATGAATGAGAAAGAAAAGCACGCTTTTTGCATAATCACATTGGCTTTTTGGAGTTATACTTCAATTTTTTAAAGTGGCCGATGGCATTAGGTCATTGTTACATCTTTTTAATTAGTAATTCGCGAACGTCCTTCTCAACGGGGCTCGTAACCTCAGAAATGTACTGACAAGTCAAAATTATTCCTTTTATAAGGCAGAAGATGTAACAATACCCTAATGTCATCAACCAATTTTAAAAAATCGAAGTGTAGGAGAAATGACAATGAAAATGCATTGGTACTTTCTGTGCTCATGCACTGGAAGTGTGTGAAATGTAAATTATCACTATTTGCACCCTAAGATCTCAATTACCACCACGTAAATGTAAAGATGTTTAAGTGGTTTGGCGGCGAATGAGCTCGTCTTGTGGTCTGAGCCTCGTCGGAAAGAAATACAATATTATTATGACGATGCCACCGGGAAGGAAGACAACGGATGAAACCGTCCGCCAGGTCCCTCTCTCTGCGAGCAGCGCGCGACAGCGCTTTCACGCGCGCAATCTGCGCTCCATCTGCGCGCGACGCCTGCGCGGGAATACGTTAGGGCGACTGCGCGCGTGCTGTGCGCGATCGAGAGCACTCACCGCTGATCATTCGACCTCTCGCGTGCCTCCGCCGCCGCTGCCGCCGCAGTCGACGGGCCGCCGCCGGGCCCGTTGCAACTGCTCCGCGGGGCCGCACTCCGCGACCGCCTTGCCAGCACGCGGGGGCGCAGGCCATCCCGATCGTGGAGGGAGGCAGGGCGGGCAGGGGCGGGGGGGCTGGGTGGGGCACGCCCGCGACAGGCTGATAAGACACGGGCTGCGCGGGCTGGCCCGCGGGACCGCGCGCGCCAGCGAATGTATATGTGTGTGTGGAAGTGTCTGTGTGTGTGACTGTGTCTGTGCGTGTGTATGTATCTGTGAATGTGACTGTGTGTATGTGTGTGCGTGTCTGTGTGAATGTGTGTTTGCCTGTGTGTATCTGTGTGCACGTGTTTGTATCTGTGTGTGCATGTGTGTGTGTGTGTGTGTGTGTGTGTGTGTCTGTGAAATGTGTCGGCGATCGCGTGGGCACCCCACAGCTGCGCTTGGAAAGGGGCAGAACAGTTCTGGAGGCAAGGGAGAGGCGACTCGAAAAATGTGGCTGGCAGCACACATGAATCTACCTTACTAGTCTTTCCTGTAATAAGATTAACGATAATAATGACGAATAAACGGCAATAGCAATAATACTACAATAAAATAATACCACAATGCGATCATACCACAATAGTAATAGTAATAACGAGAGGCTTGCAGCAGCGAACCTGGACAAAACCTCACACAATGTAGCACAAACATTGTTAAGACACAAACATTGTTAAGAATTAAAATACTCTCATAACACTGCAACACATTAAATATTTTAACAGTCTTCACGAACACTGCAATAACATGTATAAACGTAGTTGACATGTATGCTGTACAATAGTGCTTTACAGAAAAGAACATGAAAAAACTTGCTGGTCAATATCGCTACAGGAGAATAGCAAATATTTGATGGTGGGTGGCCTCTCCCTTGAAGGACCTCCACTGTGTGTGACACAATCAATTATTTCAATTTTGCATTAAAAATCTAAACTGTTTTATTGCTTTTTGGAGTTTTCGCAGTTTCTTGGGTACCTAACGAAATATGAATACTCACGTGGTGGCGGCTGCCTAGCTTTGTTGCAAATTCTGAGCGCATTGGACATTACAAATATGGATGTTCTTTTTGGATTTTCTCCGAGTGCCTAACGAAACAATACACACGCCTCTCTCATGACCGGATTCTAGGCGCGTCAACTACTCGGGTCATTAGTTCCGTGAGTGTATTGCATCTTTTTCCTCGGGAGGTGGCGGTGATCTTCCTCTACTGGATGGCGAGATCCGGCGCCGACCTACCTCCAGCTAGCGAGGTTTCCCCCAACCATGTATCTCCCACCAGCGTGGCACCATCCCAGTCGGGACAAGCTCTATGCTCCCGACCAGTCTCCCGGCATGTGTGGTAGTGCCGAACATATTAGTGTAAGTATATGTGTAAGGGGTGAGGAAAGGACAAAGAAGAGGAAGAAAAGATCGCGCCCGGACCGTGGCCCGTTTGTAAGGGTACTCTCCTGGTGTTGATCGGAAAACACACGGAAAACTACCGACCAGAGCAGCCGGTCTCTAGAATTCTCCTCCAGACAGTGACTGAAGGGACTAGCTGACAAAGTAGAGTAGACTAGAAATCTTGCCCCTGCTAGGACTCTAACCTAGGACCTCCCGGTCAGAGGCACTACAACAACCAGTCATCGTCCCAACAGCCACCGCCACTACCTCCGCGCGGATTCGCCGTCTCGGGTGGCGTAAGTTGAACGCGCAGCGTACCGAGAGCGCGGTCGGCCATCGCCGCTCCGTGCCACATGCTTCATGCCACATGTCACACGCTACTCCCCGTCGCCAGCCGCCTCCCGCACGTAACAGGCGTGAGCGCGTGCAGCTGGAACTCGAGGCAGGAAGTACAGCGGGGGGAGGGGCGGATCTGCCCACCACTGCCCAGTGTTGCTGCAGCTCACTTTGGCCTCTTCCTTCGATCTCTTTTTTTGCTTCGCTGGTTTTATAAAGCGAGCTTTAATTTTGCCTTCTACTTCGTACGTTTTCTCTGACTTTTCTCGCTCAAGCTTTCTTTATGTCCGCATTCGCCTCTCTTTCTTAATATTTTTTCCTTTCTCTCTTCATATTCGTATTAACATCCTTCTTTGGTTTTCACCGGCTGAGTTAGCCTGCCTTATCTCTGTCTCTGGAGCGGGTCTTATCAAGGGTTCCTAGGGTTTGAGTCCCGTCGGTGGAGGATTTTCGACACTAGCTATGTAATTCGTCTAATTCACTTCCTCTCTGGAGGACAATTCTAGCAGCTGCATCTTTTGATTCGTAGTTTTCCATGGTTTCTTCGATCAATGAATTCCAAGCGAATGCCGCAGAAGAACCCTAAGAAACGGGCCAGGGACCGAGCTCAATATTTCCTTCCTCGTTCTGCCCCACTTACTCCTTCTTAAAATACCTAGACTTACATGCACTATAATATCACACATGTCGGTAGACCAATAGGGAGCGTAGAGCTTTTCCCGGCTGGGATGGTGCACCGCTGGGAGAGGTGTCTGGAGGGAAAATCTAAGCAAGCTGATGTGTATGTAGACGCCGGATCTCAGCATTCAGCGGGAGAGAAACACAGGCTTCTTCCGGGATAAAACAATAACAACTGCGAGGGGTATATTACTGTTGCCCTGCCCAGAAACAAAAAAAAAATCTATCAATCAATGTTTCCTATTTCATCGAATTTTCTTCACTTTCATCAATTCATTTTTTAAAGTTTTTATTTATTTTAATTTATTAAATAAATTTAGAATTAAAAATTTTAATTTTTTTTATTTCTTTATCGCTATTACCATTTATTTATCTACCTTCTTTCTCTTGAAACTCATTGGCACTCCTGTATTCTTTCATTTTTCCTTCTTTTCTTTCTTTCTTTTTTCTTTCTTTTCTTTCTTTTCTTTCTTTTCTTTCTTTTCTTCCTCTTCTTTCTCTTCTTTCACTTCTTTCTCTTCTTTCTTTTCTTTATTCTGTCTTTCATTCACATTTAGAAATAATTAAAGAGGGTAACGTGATATTAAACTTCGCGTATATCTGCAAACAGAAAAATTCTAACTCGACTGTACCCTGTGCAAATAGCGACATTTAATTTCTGTAACGAATGACTGAGGTCATTTCGTGTTTCTCGCGTTGAAAGCACGTTTTCACTTGTATTTCAATCAATTAAATTGCATAAGATACATTAATGTCATGATAATGTAACACAAAAATGGGTATTGGAAACATAGAAAACCAATCTGCTCTACAAAAGGCAACAGACGGACAATATTTTTGACCAAGAGAGTAGGCAAGAAATGCCGATCGCATTCCCGTGCCGCGAGGTTATTACGGTGAGTCATGTCCGAGACAAACAGTAGCCTTGGACTCTCACAAATGTCAATTGTTCTTGTCAATGAATGTGTGCCAATAGTATCTGCTGTAAATGATTGTATTGTTGCAGAGTTCGAACTAACATATTTTTTCTGGTTTGCTGCAATGAATGTAGCAGCTACATTTGAAGACTGAAAATGAAAACGAAAACAGAAACCAAAATTACACATCTTCATATTCTTCAAGGAAACCGTTGAATGTAGCAAGGCGGATAACTTGGAAAAGCTGAATGACCAGAGTGGGTAAATTTGGCGCATTCGGTGTTTTCCATAGATATTTTTTTCTTTAACACAATAACAATTGTTAGTAGACAGATATTGAATGAATGTACAATTATTCGAATATATGAGTGGCTTTTGCATAATTTTGCATGAAAAAATAGGCAAACTTTAAAATATTTAAAGATTTATTTTCTCAGAGGCGGTTCCCATTTTTCTTTAAATTTTCCCCGCAAAGCCCCCTTAAAGGCATAGTCAAAATACCACGTGTATTCATATGCAAGAGATTATATGCGAGAGACGTTCCCAAGGATCACTGAAGGAAAAATAAAGGAACGAATATGTGTAGATATGCTAATAAGAAAATTAATGTCTGATAAACATTTCGTTGATTTGTTGAGAGATGTTGAAAAACACATAAGCGATTTTCACAAGTGTCCAAAAATGTTAGGGCAACCATAAGGCAGAGAACTTTTGCTATATTTTGTGTGAACTACTGAGATCATACCACCGTTTCGGACGTAATATGTCAATTAAACTACATTTTTTGTTTGATCATTTGAACTTCTTCCCGGATAACCTCGGCGCCATTAGAGACAAACATGGTGAACGGTTCCACCAGGACATTTCTCAAATGGAAAACCGTTATCAAGGCAATTGATGTGATACAAAGTCGTCCGACTGCTTCTGATGCGTACGTTTCTGAGGTATTGCGAGAAATCGGGAAGGAAATCTTTTTAGGTATCTTTCTTCTTTTAACATTTACGTTGTTCCAATTTTTATTCTATTTATTCGGATCTGTTGTTATTAGATCGTGTCATTTTGTCAGACACATATAGATAAGGAGACATACGCATCTACAAAAATGATCATCACATGAAAACTAGGCTGATACAGGAATTATGAAATTAGATCCGGATTCACTGGCAAATGATTATCTAGAAGCAACATGTTTTGTTCTTGTTGCAGAAAAAAATTTATTGCAGACAAGTGTTATCAAAAGTGATTTATTGATTTCGTTAATGAAAACAATATTTATAACAGCATTTAGAGGAACTACTTAATGTACTTATGTTGTTTGTTTTTTTTTACAGTTTTTGATAATGAATATGGTTCTAAATTTCATATTGTGATTGAAAATGATCAATCTGTTTAGTCGCTAATGATCTTGATATCGATAAATATTTTTTTTAAGTCTCTCTGCAAGCCTATCTTCATTGTACTTGGATTCTTACCACTACTTTGCCAATTTATTGACGATTCTTTCGCTTTTGTAAAAACTGACTTACATAGGGGAGATAACATATTTTTATACATTCATATATTTATAATTACTACACATATCGGAGGGATCATTATCATCTGGTGACAGTATCAACAAGAAATCCACATATAATACAAGTACGTTACTTTACAACGCATTGCCAGATGACATTATACAATTACAACCAATTCACACGTATTTTAAGTGCTAAATAAAATATTTTCTGCTGCATAATTG